AATTCCCGTGTCTAGAGTACACCACTACTAATGACCTCGAGTCAGATCTGTGAGGCTAAGGTCCGGGGTTGTCAGAATTGGTGAGTGGGAGGGCAGTCTAGTTTGTGAACGCTTTCGGGAGATGGCCCTGACGAATGTATAGCGCTACTGTTCTGGCCCTTATGGCCTTGCAACGCCTTCATCGCCTCCGTGATTCCCCCTCTGACATGCGTCAATTCAGTCTCTAGCCGACTGGCTCGGTGTGAGCTGGCGTCAAGCTCACTCTGAAGCCCACGGGACTTTGTCTGGAATCGACCGCTATCGCTGCGCGTGTCGCCCAGCCGGACCCGAGTACGGCGGAGCTCATCCCCAGCTCGCGGTTCGCGCCTCCCAGCTGGCGGATCTTTGCTATAATGTCTGTTGGTCATATGACAGGAGGCGGCAGCGGGCGAAGGGTCACAGCGACAGCACATGTAAATACAAGCCTTGTACTAGGAAGCACTCGGCACACAATCACATCAATTTTATCTTCAGCGTCTTGGGATTTCAAGTACCCGATCGATATAGCAATCAATGAGGTCACCCCATAATAGCATTCGAAATCAAATTCCCTAGCCAACACTCACAGATTGTTCACAAATTATTTCTTCGTCAACAGGAAAAGAAATAGATCTATGTAAAGCTCTGTCACGCTGTCGCTGGGTATAGAAGAGACTTTTTTGGCCGTGATAGCACCCCTCCCATAGTGGACACCGCGCCAGTAGATAACGTTCCATCATCAGTAGAGGGCGGGCGTTCTTCCTGTATTGTTGATATAGGGTCCAGTATTGTAGTGCCTGTTTCAAAGGGAATCCTATTCTCACTCGGCAGGCTGCAAGCCGAGCGTCGGGGTTGTTTTGCCGGATCGAAGCGACGATAGGGCGTGAGAAAAAACCCCATTTCACCTCTGTTTGGCTCCAGGCAAGTCTGCTGGCTGTCATATTCGTTTATGTAGTGATTTCGCATCAAAAAGGCGACCAGTTGGTTCAGCACGCTGAATTCCATCTTCAGCTTAACGCTATAGACGACGGTCTTATACGTTGTTTGTATTTCGAAATTGTCGCTATATTGGGTCGCAAGAAGCGAAGCATCCATAAGGATGGCAATGATATTGACGAGTATCAAGTGTTTCATGACATTATAGCCACTTCGTTCCTCGCGCGCGAGAGCCGGTTTGAGTGCCCGAGAAGCTTCCCATATATACAACCCAGAGATAATGATCTCCTGGACAGAGAAGCCAGCAAGCTGGATATTCTCATAGACATTGAACGGACCGAGGAAATTTGAATGGCCTAGACCGCTGCCAAAGAAGAGGATGGACACCGGAATGTGTAATACGCAAAAATTGATGATGATCATATACAATACCCATCGGTACCGACGGTAGTCGCTGACGACAAGGTGCAGCCGGGAATAAAGTACGACGGATTGGCCTGTGACCATGGCGTACCAGCCGACGACAATTAGTACAGCCATAGGGAAGCTAGGGGCAAGTGCGAAAAAGCGGAGTAGGACCGCAATAGCATGGAGTAAGATGCCTAAGGTGGCCACGAGCATGCTCCAAAAGTATAATCCTCGGTAACGCTTAAAGGTCATGAAAATGGAGACCATAATCTCCAGAACGTTATAACAGGTGATGCCGAAAAATGCTGCTATCGTCATAGCGATAGGGCGAGACACGTCGATCGGCCCCGTTTCACCTGCCATAATTCAAGTGTTGCTTACCTAGCGCAGGACAAGAAGTCGTAAGATCGATGGAAAAGCCACTTTAATGACAGAAGAGATGTTTTCCAAGTCCCACATGGTTATAGTCGCCCATGTTAAAGACAAAAATCGGGTCAATAGAGCGCGGCTCGTTGATACTACAGTTTCAATGTGAGCTTCGACGCGGTCCCTACTATTAGGAAATGCTAAATTCTCGACAAGCTGTATTACGCTGCCAAGAACGTGGCACTCTCGCCACATTTCTAAGTATCTGGTTCTTTCTGCAACCCAATACCGCTGTGCCTTGAGTCCTAAAGTGGCTTTGGTTCTGAGACATACGGCAATGCGGGCTATAGAATCGTACGGGACGCCTGATACGTGGTTTGAGATCTGGGGACAAGCAGGCACGTTTTGATTGGTTACTTGTGAAGGATAAGCCATTCGAGATGTCGTCATTATTGCCACCTTTTGTGCCGACCATAAGCTGGCTACCTTGGGATACGTGGAACACTTGCAGCATTGTCACCACTTCTTCTTTAACCGCCCGATCAGAACCCGAATGCGACGCTTATCACATTGTTTCTCAATGCAGTGATGGAAATTGTAAAAGCGGGAGACGAGAAAGATTCCGTCTTAAATACGCATCTGCTCATGGATTATTTGCCCAGACCAGATTGGCTCTCACTAGCTAAACGCCGGCATGACGAGACTATGGAATGCTCGAACATTGATAATGGGTCTTCAAAGGATTTTCAGAGGTAACTTAGCCCATAGGGGTCATACATGATATTTGGTGGTATCCGATATCACTAACAAGATTCACAGGTACATGGAGATGCACGAATTCACTAGGGTCGCCGCCGACTGAAATCATTTCCAAGCCGTGCAATACCATCGTTGAAGAGTGGCCAACGCAGCTAAGGCTGCAACTGAAGCGGAAAGGCGCCACAGAAGAGTTCCGTGCTCTTCTTGAGTCAGACCTTTCTGGTCTTCCACCGATACGGCCGTCGCTGGAGGGCTACCATCTGCTTCCAAATATGAAAGAACAGACACGTTTAAATCTACTGCGGACACATGGCTCTTGTTCAAGCAGCTGCTCCACAATTTCTGCGTGGTCATCAAGGCAGCTCAGTGCAAAGCAGATCGACCTTAAGACGTCTTGTTTTGATATAGAAACTTCCTGAGAGAGTAGGAGACATTATCCCCATGCCAATCCCATGCCTTGTAGCATAGCAAACAAGAGGGAGTTTCCAATCGCCATATCTCTTTGGGAGGACGCGACACCTTTGTCCAACAACTACCGCACCGCTTGCGATTCACGCTCTTCCGCAGCGCTTGCTCAAGAGGCCCAAGAGTCAAATGGCAATAACGAAGAACGGAGGACGTTCAGAGGTATACCAACGTTCGGGGCGGTGTCTCATCGCCCAATGACTTTGGTCAGATCGCTATTTCTCTGATAGTGACGTCATACAGTTGGCTGTCATTCGCCCTGCCGATACAATGACAGTGTATGCTGTGACCCATGGCTAGCTACGATTCTAGACTCGGAAATGGCACTTGCATACGAAAACAATTAATATGCCAGAGCGTTCATACAACTTAGACAAATATCGTCATAATGGCGACACGTATATACTTAGTGACAAGTATATTTGTCTGTGTGTTTGTATATTACATGGCATAATCCTGCTCGATGTGTGACATTCTCCGGATATTTGTGATTACCCGAAAGGAGATAGCAGTTTGTGCCCCCCCAACCATTTAGTTGCAATAAGAGTCTTACAGCATCAATCTGGAAGGCGAGTATCCTAGTGGAGCAGAGCCAATATCCACACCGTCTCTTCTACTCTAGTCTAATTCCTGCTTTTAGCTCCCCCTCCACCTTTTTCATTTTGGTTATACCGGCTCCTGCAACAATTTTCGCTCTTCTTGCCCTACACGTACTCCCCGTCCTTTAATCCGCCACTACAATTGGCCATCCCTCCTTCCTAACTTATTGTCGGACACCCTTGAATCCATTCAGGCTGTGAGGGTTTACTGTGGTTTCTTGTTTTCACTTGTACAAGCCATCATATCATGCTGGTTCCACGCGCTGTTCACCCCGCGACCTCTCTGTTGCGGTCCTTCAGCTCGTTAGCCGTTGCCTATCGTTGTCCATCCATCAGAGATATCACAATAGAGTCAACCGAGGGGTTCCTCATACGGCAGAAGGAGTTTCGCGAGAACCTTGAACAGGCGCGACTGAAAAAAGAACAGCAAGAGAGTCAGTCCATCAATGCTTTTTCCTCTTCATCTTCCCTTCCCGTGAATTCGCTCCCATTGCTCCGCAAGTGAGCAGTGCGAGCAGCTATGACTAAATCAGATCTGATATTGATGCCACCGTGGTGCTCGACTAGAATGATCTGGGCTCACTCTGCATGCACCACTTTATAGGTGAAAAGCAGCATCGGGATTCCGTCTCAAGACACGGTCCTCTATCCTCGCTCATCTATGGCACCGAGGAAGGCAAATACTTCGACGAGAATATGGCACGCTCCTTCTCGCATGTCCTGGCTGGCGGTAAATACGTCCACTCCATTGTCATGCACGACGTGAAGCCCGATAAAGTCGATGAATATGTTAATCTTGTGGGTGAGTGGTACCCCCGAATGGCGGACACCGACGTGAACCGTGTCAATTTGGTGGGCAGCTGGCGGACACAAGTGGGCAACAATGATACCTTTGGTAAATTCCAACCAACCAACCAACTAGTAAGATACAGTGTATGGGCTGACTAGGTTCTTCTTGTTCTTCTTGAACAGTCCATATCTGGGAATATCAACGGTACGAAGGATACAATTCCTCCCTTCACAATATCTCAGAACAGCAGGGGTTCCGTGAGTTCGACCGCAAACTCAAGAGCCTGATACAGAGCAAGAAGACATTCCTGATGCAAGAGTTATCGTTTTGGCCCACGACCCCGCCTCGCCGTCTCGGTGGACCGTTTGAGCTTCGATCATACACTCTGCATCAGGGCAAGCTCCTGGAATGGGAAACAAATTGGCGTCGCGGTATTGCAGCACGTCGCGAGGTTATGGAGGGCGTGGGTGCATGGTTTGTGCAGATTGGCGACTTAAACACGGTCCACCACCTCTGTCAGTTCGCCAATCTGGAGGAACGCAAGATCCGCCGCGAGGAGTCGTGGGGCGTTGAGGGCTGGGCTGAGACAGTGTACAAGACCGTTCCCCTCATCCAGACCATGCAAAGTCGGATTCTTATCCCGATGCCGTGGAGCCCCGTCGGTTGAATTGAACGGGCCAACTGAAGCGTTCTAACATTACATTGATTGGAGAAACACTAAGGGGTTTGGGGGGTCAAAAGATTCTTGGTTTTTCTTCACCAATTTGCGGGAGACACACCGGCTGAACAAAGCAATGTGCAAATCTTTGCGTTCGCGCCCAGCAACCTCGCAGCTTGCGGGCCATGTTGATGGGGTTTATTCTGCGGTGAAATGCTTCCATCTTGATCCCAAAAACGGAAATCTGAACCCTGAAGAGCGAAGCACAGAAGGCAAGATCGCACAAGAAGTAGTAGTAGCAGTAGCCGACCCCTCGCAAAGTTGGATTACACACACACTGTATCGGTCTTTCTTTTCGAACATGAACGTGCAGCCAGAAAACGAGGATAGGCAGTGCCGGGTTTGGCGTTCGTTATTGCAGCGTATTTTCACGGCTTGCCGAGAATCTGCCCCAACGAGACAACGATGAACATCTGGTGTAATTTTTACGGGCGTGGGCTAGCACTGGGTGCGTTTTTAGACCATCCGGACCTGTAGCAAGCCAGGTCCCCGCCGGTAACCACCCTGGCCTACCGGTAACGTGCAAGCGGAAAACAGAAGTCTTTCGGGGCAAATGTGGTCTATACCTCTGGCTATTTATTGTGGACGCGGGATGGGTCAGGGACTTTACGACCAGAAGCTGGCCTGTAGACTTCGTACGGGACAAAGCCAACATTTCGCTAAATGGAAGGAAATAAACTGAAACTGAAGGCTAAGTCTAGCAGACGAAGAAAACTGCCCTACCCAAGGACATATCTTAGCTTCCTGAAACGATTGCTCATTCGAGTAATAATCCGCAGCACCACAAAGAGGTGTCTGTTCTATTGCTGGAGGTAGCGGTAAACCATCGGAGACGAAGCGCGGTTCCCTTTGCTTGAACCTCTGCGGTCACCTAGAGGATCGCGTGGATGATGCGTTGTCCTGACTTCTTTCCCGGGTTCTGGATTGCTTGCTTACGATAGGAACGAGACATGGCACATATCTCGAACCCAATAACAATCTGCCAAGGTTGGATATTTGGGTACAAGTGCATGCATCTGCAGGCCGCTATGGACAGACAACGTGCATGTATATATACCCTATGACATGCTTTTGGTTTTAGCCAACAGGAAAGTGAGGCTGCGCACAGTTCAAGCCCAATACCATTTCCAGTCATCTTATCAATCAAGCAACGGCAAGAGGCAGCCAAAAACTATCTACAGACTGCCAACGGAACTGTCGCCTTGTTTGCTCTAATTGCACACGACCTTCCAGTTCCCTGTGGCGACTTTCATACTGTTACCTTGAGTCGTATTATTACCTGCGGTGTCTCTAAAATTTGTGACTTTTGGTTGGTATTAGATCTGCGTAAACAATGAGTCTTTTCGTGGTTAGTAATAGTACGTCCAATTCATCTATGATGGAAGCAAATATGTTTAGTAACACAGACGCTAGTGCCGGCCTTATTGTAGAGATGCTTCATTATCTGGGAATAAGATGTTTGCTGGAAGCACTTTTGCAGCTATCTGAAGTACAAACTACTCTCAAGACGCAGAATAACTTGACATTTGCAAACGTATTTGTGCGCAACGAAAACAAGAAAGAAGCTTGCCTACAAAAGCCTAAGTCGCTTTTGTGGCCTTTGAGGGGCTGTCAGAAGTCTGCGTTACCTCAAACTCGTGCAATTCTTTTCTGTGCTCGATTGAGGTGCTTGGACCGATAGAGTTATCGTTCGATAGCCAAGAAAATGCTGCGGGACACAACAAACACGCAGATGGCTACTGCTCCGGTCAAAAGTATAGCAGGGAAGCCGTAAAATAAATTTCTGGTCCATGTAGAGGAATGCGAAGGGCTGGGTTAAATGGATCTAACAACGGCGTCTGATGGCAATTTGAACGTACTGGCTTAGTAGACATCAACTGCTTTAGGCACGATGATAATGAACAGGTAACGGCAAGGACATTATATTGCTAGATTCAACGAAATGAACAATCTGTTCGATCGGGGTTTGGAGTAGACCGTTGGTTGTATTTACTCGTTTTCCACATCAAATGCTCTGAGATCTCAAATATGACCTGATACATCAAACTGGTTGGCTGATTGTGATCAATAATTGTATGCCTCGAAATTAATTGACCAGATTAAATTACCCCATCAAATCACCACTCCTTTTCTTTTACACATTTGGTTATTAACAGTATTTAATTACCAGCCCCCAGCATTTTTGTCCATACATCTTACTGTTACGGACCTACCAGGCACCAATCGATTATGGGGCCGCAGCTTACTGATGGGCCACCGGGAGCCAACCAATCAGGATCACGTGATGATCAGCCTGAGCACTCAGGGTGACCAGCCAAGACAGGCGCCAGTTTCGGCTACCTTTGTACCGTCGCACCAAGGTTACACCACAACGCTAGGTGACGGTAAGGCCACTTCGGCCTCCCACTCGCCATCTCATTGTATACCTTATTTAAACATACCTATAAGAGGATAAATAGATAATCAATAGATGATAGAGCCTAGATAGGCTCGATTCCACTTAGCAAAGCCAGTGATTTCGGGGACATACAGGTCGTTATCTTAGTGGTCCGCGTACGAGCTTTGGGTTCTTTTGCCTTTTTCGGCGAAGGTTGACGCAATGGCCCAGCTGGTGCATCTTCACTATAGTCTTCAAGCTTTACTGACAGCGAA